TCGGTAGATATTCTAACCATTTCATGATGAGTTAAGGCATTAAGGCGACAGTATTTTACCGATGTATAAATCTCGTAATGAAGCCAGGAAATGGCATGGTGGGAAACATGTTATTTCTCTTGGCGCAATATTCATGAAATTGAAATCACTGTCTACTTAAAGAGTATGTGTATATTATCCATACGATATTTGATTGTATAATTCATACATCCTCAGTTCACTCCTGATTAATATTAAACGTGTAAACGTTTTATTCGTTCATCATTTTAAGCTCTTTCGGTATCGTTTTATTCCCATTTATATTAGTCTTTTATTTCAAATTAAGTAAGTAAACTTTAACCTTTTGGACTGTCTTTCGTTGACAGGGTATAATTTAAGAGATGTATAAACCACGTTTTGCAGCGTTTTAACAATTCAGTTTGACCTAAAATATCACAAAAGAAACATATATGATATACAATGTCATGGTCATTTCTGTAATATAAGTTAAACGTTACCAGTACATTTAGATTTAAAAGTACTTACGTCAATTCTCTAAGACATGAAATAAATTGAACAACAGCTATTATCACGATTATCGATAGTTTCAAAAGTCTTAAGGCCAAGTATACATAATATGTACCGAATATGGATTGTATTAATTGTATAACATTTTATTGGAATACACATACGTAGGTATATCTATACGCATTTCACTAAGTCTAAATATCATGTGTAGCATGCATGTTTCTATCATGTACCATTTCCATGAGAGAGATATACATACAAATACAGATACGAATAAGTCTTGCGATTTTCTGTATTGCCTTTGTACAATGATATGTGTTTTTGTTTTTTTTTTATTTCAATTCCAATAATTGAGAAATGCATTTCACAAAGTATTAATTGGTTCTGTTTCGGGAAGTTTGTATGATTTAGCACTTGTTTGTGGGAAATACAAGATTCCGGCAAACGAGCTTATATACAAAGATAAGGCAGAATAAAAAAAGTATGATTCGATTACGTCTACTTTCCGTCGATATTTTGTTTTTGTCCTTCTCAAATACAATTATTGATTCAGAGATACTGTCTACTTAATACAAGAGTTGATCATGTTATGCTTTTAATAGTAAAAGATAAGTGAAACTGAGCTGATGACGTTGGTTACTATTTATATAGTGATATCAACTTAACATGTAAAAGTTGTCAATTTCTGATTACGTTCGATAGATTGACGTAGGCATCAATACATAATTAATAATGTATACGGTATAGAAAATCGTCCTAAAATATAGTGACAAGCATTACAAACAAAGTATATTAAAATGAAATCCATAGCTTTATTCAAAATAGTTAATGCACGAAACTGAACATTACTTATATAATTTGTTTAACATAAATGAAGCCAATACTCTTTTTAATTTCTATTAACATATAGAGAGGTGCATTTTCCGAATCCTTAATGTTCATAAACATAATATACAGGATAATTACCCAACTTAACAAATGTATGTGAATGCACTTAAGATATCACATGCAAATAGATACCTGTGAAAATGTCTTAGTTCATGAATCAACCACCGGATATTCAGCTGTTCAAGTACTATCTGTTAAAATAATAAAATCAACACGTTATGCTTACCTTTCGACCTATTATTTCAGTTTTGTTTGACCATCGAATTATATTGCAGCACTCTGGTTCAATCTGTGAATCAACGAAGTAAATATATATCATAATTAACACGCATGCATGTCTAACATATGTCATGCATAATGCAAACTATCATGCTTGGATGATCTTTATTAATGACTACACACATATTTGATATTCAATTTCTAAATTATAGGTTTTAATGTTTGTCTTTGATTAAGATTAAACACATGATATATATTTTTACTGCACGTACGCGTGGTCATATTAGCCATGTGAGCTGTCACCATCATTTTGATTCAACTAGCATAGAGGTTAAAACAAAAAACTGAAAGCTTTCAAGAACAGATAGCAAACGACAAAACAAAAATTGCTACAATTGATAACAACTTGTTTTTATATTTTAACTAAAACTATCACACGCATCCATAACAGTTGTTGTCCTTACATGACGAAGCTAGGTACCAAGTTCCGTGTTGTCTTTATCATCGCGAACATTATTGTACTAGACAAAACAGAAAACGTAACAGCAAAATTGCTCTAACATATTTTCACAAATGTTCAGTAATATTGTTCAACAGAACAAAACCATCTTGCGGGTACATATACAAATACCATATATTAATTTTTTACCAATTTAATCAAGTTAAATAAATTTATCATGAATGAAGATAATTTTTTTCTGCAGTTTTCGTAGTTTTTTGTAAAAAAAACACAATCGTCCTTTTTTATTCTGATGTTCATATTCTAAATGATATCCTGCTTTTTAGGTAAACCACATTCTATCAATTTCAATATGAATAAGATCATGAATTTGACGTCAACACAAGGAAATAAAAACACAATCTGTTAACAATAAGCGGGTGTTGTTTTTTTTACAATATATATCAATGTGACAATCAATTTGAATGTAAGCATATATATACCTCCGTTCAAATTTCGACAGTATAACTATAGATACTTAAAAACCAACAATTATCAGCATACAAAACACTAAAATAGCGTTATAGTTTATAACAAAATGAAAGTATAAACAACACAAACATGGTAACACTTTGACGAGTTTATCCCTTTTCAACCGCTTTGTACAGTCTGTTCTAATTTTTTTCATTACACCACTGTTCCAGATTCGGGGAAGGTTCATGTCTTAGTCCACCATATTCTACATTAGCCAGTCCCAAGTCAGGAGTCTGTTATGCATTGGTTGTCTTTTGATACTGTATATTATATTTGTTTTTCGTTTATCATTTTGTATATAAATCACGACGTTTGTTTTCTTGTTTGATTTGTTTTATATTTGTCATTTCGGGGCTTTTTATAGCTTACTTTGCGGCATGGGTTTGCCCATTGTCGAAGGCCGTACGGTGACCTATAATTTGTTAACTTCTAAGTCATTTGGTCTCTGGTGGAGAGTTATGTCATTGGTACTCATACAACATCTTCGTATTTGTGTATGTGTATTTGTGTATGGTAAATAACTGACAATACTGAAGACATTACTACTCTTTCTATGAAATCCTGCTGTTTTTACAATTTAATGTTAGTACCTTTAATGAAACACGGAATTCATACAAAAAAAAAAGTATAAGAATGCTCAATCTTGTGTAATGGTTAAAAAACACCTGAAGATAATTTTCGAGGCAGAAAATAACCCAAACAGATCATTTAATTCTTTTTCAAAATTCCGAATACCCGAATTGATGTAAATTCCTAGCGCAAATATTGAAAAGTAACAATATAATAATTTCTGAAAAGGTCAGTTTAAAAATCCCAAATAATTTACAACATAATTGAGCCAAAACGGTTTTAAATGAAACTACCTTATTAAACTTTGTGTTTTAACAATGATGATGTCGCCTAGGTAAATTGTACAACGTTCTGTTCACGTGATACGATTTTCCTTGGGAATTACCAAACGATATCCAATTTTAGTGTTCACACTATGCGATTTTTTTAGGTAAGGAATTGGATGGACCACAAATCAGGCGGAATTCAAAACTTGTCAGTTTAACATTTCCGGATGATATTTCTTTAATGGCTCGACTTTTTTTCAGTCAACAGTTTGTTTTAAGTATTATTGTGTTGACCGTGGACTGTTTATACGTGTTTCAAGATTTCGCTTGGAAAGATGCGCCATGATATCATATATTCAGAATTAACAACTGATTTAATATGCCATACATCATGTGTTTTCTAATCTTTATTTCTTCTTGACCAATATCAATTTCCTGGACAGACAAAAGAAAAATTGCTGTTATAATAGAATTTGATCAAACATTGTTACCATGTTTATAAAAATCACAAAAATACAGCACTCTGAAGACCCTAATATTATACAGTTTATCCGTGTTTAGTTGCTACCTCTATGATCTATACCAATGTTATGTAGCTGTCTATATGACCTATACATCTCATCCTGACGTCAATCTGGTACTGACGGTGCTGCATCACTCTCAGATGAGATTTATGAAAATGAAAAATAAAAACAAAAGTGTTGATAAAGCTCTCAGACTGTGTGTTTTATAAATACAATTTCGCATGTTTTACAACTTAGAAAACAGTCCATTTGTATAAAGTAGAAACATTTTTTTCAAACAACGAAATTTGTTGAATTAAATTCGTTTATATTCGAAAATAATCATGATAATGCTATTCAATTAAAAAAAAATGAAGAGTTCTCTCAGTTGATAATGATAACACATGTTTGCATTTCTTTACGAAGAGGGCAAAGAAGTATAGTTCTTTGATTTAGATTAACATGATTAAAAACGTATTTATATTCAATAAAAAAAACAGTGAAGAGTTGTCTCAGTTGACAATACTACCACATTTTTGTATTTAGATACTAATAGGGCAAAGTTGTATATTGATTTGATTAAGATTAAAAACTTAAGGTAAAATTACTTACTTCTTGTTTGTGTCGTACAATTTCATTTATAGCAACTTCAGTCGGAAAAATTAAACACCAAAAACATACCAATATTAATACATTTCATCAGTGAAGACAATACAAAACTTATAGAATACAAATGTAACTTTAACTTATATAATAAAAACATTGCATAAGCAATTTGCATGGAACGCATTGAAACCAATGTTATGATGAATTTACACATGCTCATTTGGTTAATCAGAATAACAAGATATGTATTACTAAGTAAAAAGCTGAATATAAAAAACTAGGAAGCAACTAGCAAAATCGAAATCAACGATATAAACACATGTTGGACAATAATAAATCATACAATGTTTGTAAACATATGAAAAGATAATGTAATGTAATAAATATTTACAAGATTAACTTTAAAAACAATTCTAAGTATTGGTGATTTAGTAATGACAAATCCCAACTGAGTGCACACAAATCTTTTAAAATGAACCTACAGTAAACCTATTTCTTTCGGCGTTGTTGTGTTTTTGACAACACCCCCACTGACACCATTTTATCCATGACGACGTGTCATCCAGCGCATAGATTCATCTTTTGATATTTCGCATGCAGTTAAGCTACCCGGCTGGTAATCTTCGGGAAAAAGTAATATCCATCTGTAAAACTGTTAACCATTTGATGATGAATTATAGCTGCAGTAGTTGACCGATGTTTAAATTTCATAAACATTCAGGAAATGTCCTGGTGTATCACATATGTTTTATTTTGTTGCAAAATTCGTAACATTGAAATCCTTGTCTACTGAAAGAGCATGCGAATATTATCCATACAATAGTTGATTGTATAATTCATGCATCCCTTGTTCATTCGTGATTTCAATCGAAATATGCGAACGTCTAATCCTTTAATGAGTTTTAGAACTTTCGGTTTGTTTTCAAGTTTTGTTCTTAAATTTATCTTGTTCCTGATATCAATCAAATCATTGTCATCTTTTGAAAATTTTTATCTTCCGTTGACATAGTAAACTTTAATGGATTTTTAAACAGCTTTTGCAGCGTTTTATCAATTCAGTTTGACCTAAAATAAAAAACAAAAGAAACACATAAGAAACACATAAGATATACAATGTCATGGTCATTTCTGTAGTATAAGTTAATCTTAAAAAGCAAATTTAGATTGTATTGTTGTTAATTCTCTAAGACATAACATAAACTGAACATCATGTACCATTTTGCAAAAGAGGGATATACATACAAATACAATTACAAATAATTATTGCGATTTTTCTAAAAGTGTTGCATTCATAGGATGATATGTTTTTTTCCAATATTTTATAAATGCATTTCACAAATTATTAATTGGTTGTATTTCTAGATGTTTTAATGATTTAACACTTGTTTGAGGTAATACAAGATCCAGGCAAACGTTCTTGTATACAAAAAGATCATACACGAAAATGAAATATAACTCGATTACGTTTAGGTGTAATACCACAAAATCATAGTACGTCACATCATGTTGCATACGAAAAAGGGTTAAAAAATGTTACCTTAATTTGACAGTTGTAGGAAATTAATCCTACATTTCATTTCAGTAAAAAATGTCTGTGTCATAGACATTCATCTTGCGTGTTTAAAAGTACCATTTTTTTTTATTTGATGTTTCTATAGAATATTTTGGAAACTTGCGGTTACATAAAAAAAGGAAGTTGTGGTATGATTGCCATGGTTACATGGTTACTAAAGCTTGTACACAGGTAAAAAGAGGTGAAAATTCGATTGATTAATTTCCAATGATGGTTATTTTCTGATATGCAATGACATGTTATATGAAATTTTGTTTATAGTACTGGACAAGATAAAACTTTACTCATGCCAAGTATTTCTTTATTTGAAACACAGATAAATTATGCACAATTTTTGAAAAGTTCAAATTTAACAAAGACTAATAGGGGAAAATCAATAGTGGTAATACACCTTTACTGTCCGTTGATATTTGCATGTTATTTTCTCAAATAAAAGAACAACAATTGATTTAGTGATACAGTCAACTTAATACAAGAGTTGATAAAGGGATTATTTGTAATTATAAAAGATAGTAAATGAATCTGAGATCATTACCTCGATAACAATGTATATAATAATATCAACTTACCATGCAAAGTTGAGCTAAATACTGACAAAGCTTCAATAATTGATTTTTGCATCCACACAGTAATTTTAAAGGTATAGTAAACGGCCCTAAAATATAAAATATAGTGGCACGCAATTAAAACACTTTATATACAGATACAATGCATATCTTCATTCAAAATATGTTATGCATTGAACTGCACATTACTTACATAATTTGTTAAACATTAATGAAGTTAACACTTCATTTAAATATTGGTTTGATAGCTGTCTCATTGGCAATCATACCACATCTCCTTATGTTTATATTTATATTCCTTCAGTTTCAATCAAAATGTAGAGAGGTAGTTTTACCGAATCCATAATTTTCATAAAGAATCAAAGACTATAAGAATAATTACTCAACTTCACACAGGTATGTGTATGCACTTACAATATCATAGACACATATAAATACTTGTGCAAATGTCTTAGTATATTTCATAAACCAACCACCGGATATTCAGCTGACAATGACACATTTGTTAATAGTATCAAATCAACACGTTATACTTACATTTGTACCTTTCTATGTAAAATTTCAGTTTTGTTTGACGTTAGAATAACATTGCTGCACTTTAGTTCAATCTGTAAATATATAAAGTAAATATCTATTATAATTAACATGCGTGTATGTCTTATACATGTTATGCGCATTGCAAATTATCATGTTTGGATGCTCTTAACTTAATGATCAAAGACATATTTGTTACAGCATTTGTCTACGTATTTTTATACTTCCATGAATAGGCAAATAAGGAATCTTCATTCAGATTGATGGTTACTGCGAATAACAATACTTTAATGTGTAATTAAAGAAACAAGCACACTAACTGGTTTATAGTTGTTTTGAATCCAGTGTTTGACCAAATTTCAAATTGATCTTTAATGCAGATTTTGTCAATAAATCATACAAATCAATGTATTTGCCATTGTTGCGTTTCCTTATAACTTGTCTGCACACTATGACATTAAGATTAGTTTATGAAACAACCAAAAATAAATGTTTTACTATAACGTATTCTTACACTCAACGATTTCTCACTGCAATTAGCACGACAAACTGTCGACACGTCGTTAAATACATCAAACATATCTACTAACCTACATCCAATGAACCGAAGTAGCGTTACCAATATCATTAACACAAAATGTGTACAGATGGCTCGCACATTCATATGTTTTTGCCGAGTGAAGCATTGCAAGAACGCAGAATTGAATAGAACAATAATGTTTTTAATTTCGAATGTTGCATGTTTTAATGTTTGTCATTGTGTACAATATTTGATTTTATAAGATGATATATATTATTACTGCACATATAGCAATGTGCGTTATCACCATCATTTTGAAACAACATGAAACAAAGCATGAAGGTGAAAACAATTAAAACGATGAAAGAAAAATTGCTACTACTGTTAACAACTTCCTTGTTTTAATTTAAACCAAATCTATCAGACGCATCCATAATAGTTGATACCTTTACATGACAAGGCAGGTTACTAATTGTCGTGTAGTGGTTATTATCTCGAAAATTATTGTTTTAGATAAAACAGAAAATGTAACAGCAACAATTATCAGTAATACAAAATTGCTCTAATATATTTTCAAAAACGCTCAGTACAACTGTGATTCAGAGCAATATTGTCTTGCGGGTAGATACACAAACATCATATAGGTTGCACTTTGTAAATACAGCTGTTTCTCAAACCACGCCTTTTTTGGGGAGATATAGAATATTCATAGATAATTAATTTTGTTTACATACTGGTTCCCAGTTATGATTTCTATGTTTCATCTCATAAAGACATAACTTGGGAATGTTACTAGTAAATACACATATGCATATTGTTTATATTGTGTTATGTGGTAATCCTACAGTTAAGATAGGGGTAGCTAAGAAATTTAGTGTTAGTTTAAACTCTTAGAAGTTCAGGGCATATAAACGTTGAAAATATGCCGCACAGCCCTATATTTTGATCTTTGAAAAAAATAGTAGTGCATATGAACTTTCCATTCTAGGATATGATTTTTTTCAAAATTTCATAGTAAAAGTGGTAGAGTTTTAGCCGTAAAAGGAGTTCCTATGGGAAATTGCATTGTCAATATTTACAGAAATGCAACCTATATGCAATGTTTACCAATCGAAATTATATACATTTATCATTAATGATATTTTTTCTGCAGTTTTCGTTGTTTTTTATACAAAAAACAATCGTCCTTTTTTATTCCGACGTTCATATTATAAATAATACTCTGCTAACTTGAGGGGAGACCACGCTCTATCAATCTGAATATGAATAAGATCATTGATTTGACGTCAACACCAGGACACAAAAACTAGTGTGTTAACAATAAGCGGGTGTTTTGTTTAATAAAATCTATGTGAGAATCAATTCGAACGCTAACATATATATTCCTCCGTTCAAATTTCGACAAGATAACTAACATATAGTTAAAACGACAACTATCAGCTTGAAAAACCCTAAAACAGTGCTATAGTTTATAACAAAATGAAAGTACAAACATGGTAACGATTTGACGAGTTGATCCCTTGTTTACCGCTTTTAATAATCTGTTCTGATTTTGCAATATTACACCACTATTTCAGATTCGGGAAAGGTGCATGTTTTACTCCCTCACATTCTCTATGTGCTGGTCCCAAGTTAGGAGCCTGTAATGCGTTGGTTGTCGTTTGATACTGTATATCATATTTGTTTTTCGTTTATTTATTTTTTTGTACATAAATCACGCCGTTAGTTTTCTTGTTTGATTTGTTTAAAATTTGTCATATCGGGCCGTTTATAGCTTACTATGCGGTATGGGTTTAGCTCATTGTTGAATGCCGTACGGTGATCAATAACTTGTTAACTTCTAAGTCATTTGGTTTCTGATGGAGAGTTGTGTCATTGGTAATCATACCATATCTACGTATTTTTATATGGTAAATAACTGACAATACTGAACACATTACTACTTTTTCTATAAAATCCTACCGTCTTACAACTTAATAAAAGTGGCTGTAATGAAAAGTGGAATTCATACAGCCACTCAAAAAAGTATAAAAATGCTTAATCTGATGTAATGCCCAAAACATACCTGTAGATAATTTGGACATTTTGGATGCAGAAAAAGACCCAAACAGATCACTTAATTCTTTGTAAAAATTCTGAATACCCGAATTGAAATTAATACCTAGCGCAAAAATTGAAAAGTAACAGTTGATGATTTCTGAAAATGTCTGTTTTGAAATCCAAAATAATGAACAACATAAAGGAGCCAAAAGATTGTTTAATATAATTACCGTATCAAACGTGGTTTAACAATGATGATTTCGCCCTGGTAAATTGTACAACGTTATGTTCACGTGATACGATTTTCCATTCGAATTACCAAACAATTTTCGATTTGAGTGTTCATATATGCGATTTTTGTTAAAACAACACTAAAGGTAAAAACATCGGATGGACTACAAATCTGGCGGAACTCAGGACATGTCAGTTTAACACTTCCGGATGACATGACTTTGATGCCTAAAGTTGTTTAACCAAAAGTTTTTTTTTTTAATATATTGTGATGACCGGTCTTTGTTTATAAGTTTTTCAATATGTAGCTTTGAAACATGCGCCATATTATATATTCATAATTCACAGCTGATTTAATATACCATAAATAATTTGTTTCTTAATATTTCTTCCTTCTGTAACAATACGAATTGTCTGGACTGACAAAATGCTAATTTACTGTTATAATAGAATTTGACGAAAAAATGTTAACATGTTGATAAAAATCACAAAAATACATCATCACTGAAGAAATTGGTATTCTACAATTTACCCTTGTTAAGTTGATACATCTATGATCTATACCAATGTTATGTTGCTGATTGTATGATCTATACATCTCACCCTGACGTCAATCCGGTACTGACGGTGCTGCACCACACTCAGATAAGATGAATTAAAATGCAAAAAAGAAAAGTGTTGATAAAGCTCTCAGAGATTGTTTTTTATTTTTATATTTTCGCGTGTTAAACGACTTAGAAAAAGTACATTTGTATAAAATAGGGAAACAAATCATTTTTTCGAACCACGAGATTTGGTGAATTAAACTGATTTTATCAACATAATCTTGATAATGCTATTCAAATAAAAAAAGAAGAGTTGTCTCAGTTGACAATGATACCACATGTTTTTTTATACTAAGAGGGCAAAGTAGTATATTTATTTGATTGAGATCAACATGATTAAAAACGCAATTCTTTTCAATAAAAAATAAACAGTGAAAAGTTGTAACAGTTGACATTATTGTATTTAGATACTTATAGGGAAAAGTAGTATATTGATTTGATTAGAATTAAGAACTTAAGGTAAAATTACTTACCTCTTGTTTGTGTCGCTCAATTTTATTAAATGCAATTTTAGTCATAAACATTAAAGATACTTAATTATCAAAATTGTTGTCAAAAGTTGTTATGTTAACCATTATAACAGATTTATCACCTTATTCCACGAAATTATCAAAAACAGTGAATAGATGAAGTGAAGTAAAGAAATAAAAATAATATTAAACAACAAAAAATATCAATATCAATATATGTACATTTAGTTAATCAGAATAACAAGATATGTATATACTAAGTAAAAAGCTAAATATGAAAAATTAGGAAGCAACTAGCAAATCGAAATAAACAATATTAACACATGTAGGACTATAATAAATTATAAGATGTGAAAACAAAATGCAATGTTAAAAATATTTGCAAGATTAACTTTAATAATAATTCTAAGTACAGGTCAGTTAGTTATGACAATTCACAACTGAATACAAACGGATTTGTTCTTTCAAATAGCTTTCTACGTCCTATAAATATGGTTGACTGCTTTCATAGATATTTATTCCATTTAATTAAAACATCATCAAAACAATTAATCATTCGTGCTGTACTTCACATGTTACATGAATGTAATGCAGATTAAAAAAAAATGTAGTAGTATTCTTTAAGAATATGGAGACAAACAATATATGCGCATTTAAATTTAATCAGAATGTGCACTTTAAAATCAACATTGATTTTATTTTCATACACATATGACCTTTATTCAGTTTTTATGAACAACTAGTAGGTATTGTGTGTGTATGCAATGTCCGTGTGTCGTATTACTTTCACTTACATTGCTAGTATTAAATGTCTAAGCTTGTGTGTATAATACTTTAATATGATATTTTAAAGACGAGTTAACCCAAATCGCTTGATGACTATGGCATCGTTACAAATAATTTTAAATTGTTATGAACATACCTGATGCATTAAACACAAATATACTGTAAATAGGGTTGACATCGTTGTACAGAACAGTCGGCGTGGATTCTGATGTTTTAGATACCATTAACAGCTGATTGTTTTTGGCATAATATATGTAACTACCGATGACACCAATAGCATAGTAGTATGTATTAGGAGTTGTTGAAAGTATTGTTTTAACATCAGAGCCGTCGTCTTTAGCTGATTTCATGTCACCATTGTAATTAATCCAATACAGTCTTTGCTCATCCGGATCTACAGTATGTTAAAACAAGTGGTGGATAAATCATAATTCATTCTTACAACAATAATATGTCAATGTAGTTCAGTTATTGTATTTTCAAATCTGGTGTAAACTTTATGACTGATCACTTAGATGAACCATGAAGTAAACAAATCCGGTTGAAATGCTATGCCCGACTTGCCCGACTCGTACATTTGACCGACCGTTTGTGTCTTTGTTGCCCGTGGACAATTAAAAAAAAACGTTGCTTGACAATGTTTATTTTCATAATCATATAGAAAAGTCCTCGAAATTTATTCACCAAAGTAGAAAAATATTAAATAACAAGAGGAAAGCAACATGTTTAGGTAAAGCAACATCAATGATCAAGTAATAGATCGATTATCAAACAAAAAAAAATAAGTATGCAGACCTGGTTTTCGTTAGTATTCAGCGATTTTTCCCATTTGTCTGGGATCGTCAATCAGGTTATAGCAACGATACACTGGGAATCGTCATTATTAGTTTCGACCTCTGATTTCTCAAGAATGAAACTAAATGACCAGTCGAGTTGGATACGCATATTGAGATAGGTCATCGTTGGAAAGTTGACCAACGGAATAGAGTCGCCTCATAAAAAAATTAACTGCTGATTGAAGAACTTGGTTTTGACAAGAAACATAGATTAGTTCTAGCAACAACAATTCAATAATTTACCAATCGTATGCTTTTTATTTCTGCATTAACTTTAACACTTTGCACAGGCTCACAGAAGAAGTGTAAGTCATGATATAATTTCCCAGGTGCATGTAAGCTAACACTAAAACAAATAATTTGCAAAGTTGGCTTGTAGATTATTTAGTTAAAAGTTGTTTTTTGGTTTAGTTTCTATCTCGTTGGTGCATACTCTACTTATAAACATTTATTATTCGCACATACAAACAGAAACCACGAATACCTTTTCCATTGTGTTTAAAACTTTTTAAGAAATATACACATCTACCACAAAATACATCTTCATTCCAAAATTCATTAAGAAATCAGAGCAAGTAGCTTTTCTTCCGGACATTTAGAATTTGTTATACACTTTCCCTGGGACAAGTGCAAGGGGTCTCAACAAATATGTCCACACCCCTGCAATGGCATGAATGTTTACATATTCTATCATGTTTTGTTCCTCCAATTTGTAGGTAAAATCATGTGATCAGAATTTCGAATGTTCTGTACACTTAGCCGTGAACAAAAATGTTTTTAAATACTAAGACAAACTATCTGCAGACAGTATGTAAAATCATGACGAGGACATACCTTCAAGTTCATTGATGTATAATCTTATATCAATAAGATATGGGTTTCTGTAGCTAACAAGTATCATAAATTGAGAAAACAGTTGTAAATAATTGTACATATTGCATATTTGAAAGGCGCTCATGTAGGTATATAGACTGTATGAAATTAGTTGAACAATGCATTGAGAGAATATGGCAGATTCCTGCTGCATAGGTATAAGAAGATGTGGTATGAGTGCCAAGAGACAACTCTCCATCCAAGTCACAATTTATAAAAGTAAACCTTTATAGGTCAAAGTACGGTCTCCAACACGGAGCCTTGGCTCACACCGAACAGCAAGCTACAGGGGACCCCAAAAATAACTAGTGCAAGTAGTTATCAAATGTACCAGGCTTATAATTTGATACCAAAAAAAAAGTGTAATACCATTCAAACGGGAAAACCAACGGTTCAATCTATATAAGAAACGAGAAACGAGAAACGATTATGAACCACATCAACAAATGACACTACTGAACATCAGATTCCTGACTTAGGACAGTTGCTACTTTACACATGTTTTGAGACAAAGCCAAGTGGTAGGAATTGCAACTTTGAATCTCAGCTAATAGTCCAAAACGATTATAGAATTGATATTTGTTGTCCGGTTAACATTTTGAAATACAAAATTATAATATAGTACACCAAACTAAATCAACAGATTATTAAAACAAATTCATTAAATATCATCTGTTCAATTATTCCTTATTTGAAATACATATTTTGAAGTTCAGATCCATAATAACATTATATTTAATATGTTAAATACATATTCTATTTCTTTTTCAGGAACAGACAAACTTCCTAGATTTAATGAACTTTCTTAGTGCAACATTCCAATCCAAAACAAAGCTGCTGCAATACACGTTTATCTTAAAATATGTTTATTGATACTGATACTCAGATGTGCATATGTATGTACGAATAAACATCCTTAAGTGACAAAAAAAGATGTTGACGGCACAGCAAGAAAGCAGTTTTTTTTTTCATTTCTGCTACAAATATTCCGACTATGATTCATAAAAAAATGAAGCACTGTCAGACCATTAAATTTAACTAAATATCCTGTATGTACTCCAAAGTCAATATACAATACTCAGTTATGTTCATATTCTCGTAATTAAATCTCCCCATCTTAATGTATGTCTTCTCAACCGAAATAAAATGTTTGATTGAATCCTCTTAAAAGGATGAACCCTCTTAACCCTTAAATTGATACATCGCCCTCTGTTTATCAAAGTGTCAGATGCCACTCTCTGTTCATCAAAGCTGCTGTTGAACACTATCCATGGAATCTGAATCAAGGAATACTAATGCTTCATTTAGTGTAAACTAAACAGTGACGGATCAACTGGTTAATCGTCATATTGGTTTGTTGTAATCATTGAAAAATGACCCAAGTGCCGAATATCTTTTTTTTTGTGTCAGAACCAGAAACAATAGCATCATTGACATACATGTATAGATTATATTAAACCAGCATATATTTTCAAGATATAATGGGTCATTCTTACAAAAAATATCAGCCAACTGTACAAGAGAGATCAACCCCTCGTCAGAATATATATACGTGTTTCGTGTATGTTTAATTAAATAAAATGAAATCAGGACCAATCATATACACAACGACTCGCTGAATTGATTGTTTTAGGTATCGATTAAAACATATCTGCCAAGAAAGCACATTCTTTTTTTATAAACAGTAACATCTACCGTAATTTGACTTTCTATATTTTTTTTCAATAGAAAAAAAAGTCTTCAAATGGACCACATTATCAATTTCAAAGGCAGTTTAGTGCAGACAAACACCCGACTGTCTGACCATTATAGTCTTTGACTCCATTATAACTTAAATATGTTAAACAAAATGCTCTAAAAAGGACCTTTTTTGGACTCTGTTTATAAATTATTTGTTTTATCTAGGATTATAATAATGGCGTGATCATATATTTAAAATTTATTCTACTAAACTATGCAAAGTTCCTTACTGCTTAAAACGCACCAGCAAACAAACACAGCATGACAATATGACCGGACGTTCAATATACATAACGTGTACAACATGTTTATGAATCAGACTAAAAAATAAAATCTCCTAACGGTTTATGATAAGCACATAACATAATTTTCCTTATCAAAGCTGCTTTACCACATGCTTTCCAAATAAGTTAGCGTTCAACATGTTCAATGTTTAAAAACCAGATTATATCGCAGTTCAAACATTTAGCCTACTTGAATCATGAATTACTTAACGTTATTGGATATGATCAATAAATATGGTAATTAAAGAATCAAACTTATCTACATGTCCAATTCATATGTTAACAGCTAAATCGATAAATGAACATGAACAAAGTTTTGGGCTTGTATTTGAACGTAAGTAAGGACCATGACATGTCATATATAAAAACTTACATTTATAACCTAAAACTATGCAAATGTAGATAAATCTGACATGTGTACTGTAAAGTCCTTGTTTCACAAGTTTCTTATTAATTAAACTGTTCACTGTTTTTTCAATTCTTACCTGAACGTGAAATCTACCTAACGTTTTATAGTTTTAAGGCTTAGATGTTTTGATATAAAACAAAGATTTTCCTAGCGTTTTGAGAAGCAATCTGTGTTTATTTGTTAAGACGACATCCCCATTTATATGCAATAAGATTTTTTCAGACATTATTCTGCTTCTATGGTTATGTTACTGAACTTCTTATTTGGCTATCACTCATAATGGTAGTGAAAAGTAAACGGCAACGTTTTTCATGAGAACATTTATGATGTCCTGATATGTCCGTTCCAATAGTTCATGTTGGTGTACAAATTGGATGGCTTACACGTTCAGTTATAGATCATGCATATTTTAAGGTTTTTCTTGTCGTATAACACACCGAGGGGTGTCAGGATCGATCAAACAAAAGACCGACCGTCGGGAGGTCTTTCTTTGGGCAATCCTGACACCCCGAGGCAAGAACACCCTTAAAATATGCATTATCTGACTTCTATACCGTCGAAAATATTATTGTTTGCAAAGATTTGTAGGATTTGCATCCTATTTTACCGACCACACTAACGTGGGATATTCTTTTCTGTTGCGTTCAGGTTTAAATTCGCCCTACGGCTCTTTTATGATGAGAAAAAACCTCACTAACTAGCCTATATATAAACTCCAGAAATCAGTATTCAGTTACAATCAGAATATTACTGCAACTGCAAGAAGAATCGAATACTTTAGTAAATGAATAGTTACGGGGTATAAAATAATACAAGTCTTTTTTTAAGTAATTTATTCCATCAACTTAACGAAATAGGGATGCTATGTGTTTGGCTTTTTTTCTTGATAATTTTATCGCGGAAAGCAAATATTTTTTCAATAATGTTTAACGAACTATTCAGAATAATAGTTTTCTCTCTTTTGTCTGGAAAACTTTTCTTTTTTCAAGCTGAGATTAAAAACTAAATATTATATTCTACCCACCCTTTTATAGAGTACGTGTCTGTTATTCTACAGAAAATAATAATATTTGGTCATTTGGTCATTTGATAGAATAAATGGTATATATATAGATGTGAAAAGTTAATAACTGACACAAAGAGAACACGCAATCGTGATACATGTACATGTAATACGAAAAACGAATACCCATCATACGTCAAAGTAAAATACAGTGTGAATCAATAAGATCAGAGGCTTATTTAGGGGGGGGGGGGGGGGGGCTTACGTAGCTTCATTTATGATAAATGCATAGACGTTTTATTAATATTACTCCATACGTTGGCTTGCTAAAGGGATCCCCTTTTCAAATTCCTACACACGAATGTGATCAATCTGGCTTGTTTTAGAAGTGTTATAATAAGTTTTGTATTATTAAATTCATCTCATATAATGTCTCTTTATTGTAGCAATAAATTATCAAACTTCACATTATTTGTTTCGAAAGTTAAAATGTTCGTCAAGAACGATGTTTGGTATTTCAGTCTAATGAACGTAGGAAAGGATTGTGTATGCCTTAAACCTAAGTAAAAAGTAAAAACGCAATTGACTACAACATACGATAACTTTCAAACGAATTAAATGTTTAAGTAATTTATAGTTTGCATTTCAATCAGGCAAAATAATGACCTAACACAGGTCATTATTTTATGCCTTGAAGCAAATTTCATTGAAACTTGGTATCGTCCGGGTTGATTCTTCAAAAGAATGACATATGGTTCTGAAAGAAAATAACTCAATATAGGTATATAAGTGTTGGTACATATATAAGAATACATAAGGATATTGTGTATCCATCTATGACACAATGTCCACATTTACATTAACATAATTATACAAAAATCTGAACATAAATATCCAATCATATAGTGAAGAAAATGCCAATTGTCACATTTCAGGCAACATTTTAACAAATATACCTGATGACCACCTACCTATATCCATGCAATAAACAGGTTTTGATGTAAAGTTAGCGATCGTCCGCTTTTCAGATAGATCGAATCTAGACTTAGATATTCCTGATAAGCTCTCAACTATATACATCCACCTGAAAGACAAATCAAAGTGTGACTAACAGAAATTAAAGTTGCTGGATCAGTGCGTGAATGAGTATAAATGTGTTGTAACGTTCTTCATTTCCAATTACAATAGAGGCGGACGATGCTACACGAGGATGAAAATGAAAACATATGAATATTACAACCAAAAACAACTCATCATGACTATGTTTTCATATCTCAGTCCACCCTTGATTTAAATGAATATGTCTACTATCAATATGATAAGACATTCTGGTAATTTAATTTCTTTTAAAAATCACATTTAAGGGAAACCAAAACCACTCTGGGGTACTTTAAACGTTTATAACGACAAAGTTAACTAAAACAATACTAGACATGGGTAGTAAGGCCATGTTGGCAGATATGACATCTTCAAATTAGACCGCTGTGATAATAACCATTTTAATGAAATAATATCATTAACGGAACCGATTCTACTGCTAAAGATGCGCTTTCGACAACTTATGTCTGTTCAATAATGACAGGAGCTAAAATGATTTAAAAATTCAACACTTATGCAAATGTCTATGAGCTAATTATAACCAATCAGAAAGTTGAGACGGTTAACTATAATGTTCGAAGAAGCGCTAATAGTGATCCTTTATATACATTGGATTTAATCATTTTATCTAAGTTGCGGTTGATTACATGTACAATTGGTAAAGGATAGAAATTATGTTAAACTAAATGTTGCTGAAATAGAGCGCAATAACACATATTGAAATGTCTTGCATAACTACATGTATTTCATCGTGACTTCAAAATAGAAGAGGGCCAGCTGTCGTGCAATATGTGTTTCTTTTTAAGACATTAAGTTCAGTAGCAATGGTCTCATTCATTACATTTAAATCATATGGAAACTATGACCTGAATAAGCGTTTAGGAAGGGTTCTGTGTTAAAATTGACGGAAACATAATTTTTCTTGATATAAATGGTCATGTATATCCTTCTAAATATTATTGTACTCTGTATATGTAGTATTAAACGATTGTTGAACATATATATCTTTGCATTCACTGGTAAAGTATCTACCATACAATAATCTGTGGGTGGGTAGATATGTTCTAATTCTGGGCACTCCCTAAAATGTTCACAATACATGTAACATATCTATGGTGTTTAAGAGATGCTTTAGCTATCAAAGGTGCTTTTTCATTGGTCTCGTTTGCATGTTGGACGCAATACTAGGAGTATTTGCGTCAGCATTCTTTGCAAAAGGAACAATGTTGAATTATTTACGCAAAACACACATGAAGGAAGACCATTTATATCTGTGTTTGTTATTCAATAACTTTTTCAATATTGGCCAAATACCCTGCCCTAAGTGGTCACATTTTAAAGAAGAGGTGAAAGATACCAAAGCGACATTCAAAATCTTAAGTCGCAATTAAACTTACAACACCATGGCTAAATAAGAAAAAGACTAACAAACAAACAATAGTACACAAAACACAACATAGAAAACTAAAGACTGAGCAACACGAACCCCACCAAACACTGGGAATGATCCCAGGTGCTCCGGAAGGGTGAGCAGATCTTCCTCCATATGAGGTACCTGCCGTGTTGCTCATGTTAGTACAAACCCGGTACTAAATTCAATTTGGGAGGTCATATTCGTGAAAAAGGGACGGGATTATAGTTACTACATTTAGAACATATCTGCTATCATCTGTGAAACGAATATTCCATAACGGTTTACCAACTCGTGATGGCATTCGTAAAATGTACGAAGGGATAATTTCAAGTTCAAAACTTGGAACACTGGGTTTAAAAGCTTCTTTGTGAGCAGCAACCCTTTATCAAGAATAAAATGATAGGAAATACAAGCCCTAAAAATCGTATCAACTGGAATGTATATAATATGTATCCAGGCGGAGCTAGAATATTGCTACATAGAAATTTATATGTTGTTAACCGAGTCAGGACATGTAGATACGATCCGGGTAACTTATCCAACCTTTAAATATACTTATTATAAAAGGTTACCTATTCCACAATGTAATTCAATCTTTGAATATTGTTTTTTATTGGTTTAAATATTGATTTTGTGATCCATGAATTAAAACCATACTAAATATTACACATATGCACCTTCACGGTACTACAATATGTCGATACTTATAGTTAAACAGTGCACAAGGTCGTGTTTATCTCTGACCGTTAATGACGTCTGTACACTAGATCCATTGGATGTTTGATGTGTACTGATTGATATTTTAGTCTTAGATACAATATTGTTTGCATTAGTTGTTATTGGCTTTTAACAAGTTTCAGTAACTGCGAGTACTCTTAGATCTGTACTTATTGTCTTTTTTCTTTTTTGTTTTTGGAATGTATTAGTACGCAGCCACAACTACTTTGTGTTTTTGATAGATGTACTTCTGTGTGTATCCATCTGATGAGTTAAGCCTTTTTCAACGATTTTTATAGTTGGTTCTTATGTTGCACTGTTACAGGGATGTCCTATGTTTTGGAGAGGGCTGAGCGCTCACAAACATGTTTAACCTCGCCCCATTTTGTATCTGCCTGTCCCAAGTCAGGAGCCTGTAGATCAGAGGTAGTCTTTGGTTCATGTTTGTTATATTTGTTTTTCGTAAACATTTTTGTTTTGAATTAGGCTGTTAGTTTTCTCAATTGTATTGTTGTATATTTTCATATCGGGGCCTTTTATAGCCAACCTAACGGTATAAGTTTTCTCATTGTTGAAGGCCTCGCGGTTGCCTATAATTGCCTAATTCCACTTTATTTGACCTTTGGTGGATAGTTGTCTCATTGGCAATCATACCACATCTTCTTTTTTCTTTATATAAACGCCTGTTTTGGGCATACACATGTATAATATAACGGGGTTAAGCATATTTGAAAGGCCACAACCCAACCTTTACCTTAAACACTTGGTAAAGCATAAGAACTTTTGAACTCAGTTAAAAAACCTCATTATATAGACAGAGGCAAAACACAAATAACTCAAGGCCTATAACACACAATACCAATCTACGAGAACTTGCAGTTACCACAGTTTAGTTTAAATCCTATCAAAAGTAATAAGAAAAAAATCCCAAATATCTGAATTAGTCTTTACCCATCCAAAGTAAAGCGTGTAAAGACGGTATAAATTGTCGAGGAAACATTTTCTTGTGAAAACCAAAATACAAGTTTCTACAGGACTTTTGACCGTCAGTGTCCATTAATTTCTGCAAATACATATTTAGCTATGTTAATTTTCTTCAAAATATAATCAATGTTTTACCGATAAAACCAGTTCTACAGATTGTATCACTGTGCTAAATTTGTCACAGTTTTGAATGTTAAATTGAAAATGGAAACGAGGAATGCGTCAAGAGACAACAACCTGAATAGAGAGCGGCAAACAGCCCAAGGACATCTATTGGTCTTCAACACAATGTAAAATGTCCGCACCCGTAGACGGGCTTCAGCTGACACCTACATAGTATACTAGTTCAGCGAAAATGAACGTCACGCTGAACAATGAAACATACAAATGAAGAAACCAAAATTTTAAAAAACAACATACAAGACTAACAAAAGCCGGAGGTTCCTGACTTGGATAGGCGCAAATATTCGGCGAGGTGGGTTAAACATATTTTGTGAGATATCAACCCTCTCTCTATACCTCTGAGTATGTTCTTGCATCAATGTTAATTTGTCCAACATGCCAAAAAAAATCGTTTTGACAGTGTGAATAAATGATATTCTAAATTAATGAGTTGGCTTTTCTGGTAAATCAAAAACTGCACATTTTGATGAATGTATTTGATAAAAGTTAAATCAGGTATAAGAAAAAAAAACTTTTGAAATGAGGTCATGGTCAGTTGATAACTGTTGAATAAACATATAAGTTTCCACAATTCTATGAAATACCAGGCCAACTCCAAAAACAATTATCAACCACCGTATGAAAAATTGAATAACAAAATGCAATCTAACGCAAATCATTGCAAAGGAGCACATGCATGATAGTTAAAAAGTTAAGGTTTGTAACTGTCACTAATGCGAGTGTAATTCAGAGAAGGAACTTATTCTAACTGGATGCATTAATTAATATCTTTGATTATTATTCATCTGAAATTCTATAATATAATGTTTGACCTCCTGATATATAGATAATCTTTGTTCCTTTACATGTTTTATTCATACTATAATAGAAAAAAAAACCAAAGGATATTGAGTATCCATCCTGGACATAAAATCAGTACATGTACAGCAAAATACACATAGTAAGCATTGACACAGCGCTTTTTATGCTGTTCTGCATCTCAATGTCACAATGAGGCCTTCAACATGGATCAAAAATACTCTCAACTCATTGCAAGTTTGAGACAGCCCCTTGCACCAGCTTGAGATGAATTATTTGCAATAAATTTAGATTGACTTTGTAAGATATAACACAACGTAATCGGGTCCCGTCAAAAAAGAACATGCTAGAAAGTAGTACTGTTTAAAAACTAAATAGTTACAACGCATAAATGTATATCTAAAACTCTCTAGCATATATTCTAGTAAGTATTGCCCATCAAATCAATCTGCAATGTTACAAGCTTTGTTAAATTTCAACTAATCAGATTGTTTCATTTCTCTTGCGGCCATAATGAATAATATATCCGCCACAAGACACACAATACACAGAATGTAACAACTGATTGGTGGTAGATATTGAACTGAACGCGGTTACACACATTATGTTTACATAATGGCAACGAAAGAAAAGCGTACAGCATACATACATGCACGGATCATCCTGTGACACTGTTGTTTGCTATTTAGTTGGAAAGTTTTTTTTTATCACAAAGCATGTATAGATATATAATAAAGGTCACACAATACTAGATGTAACCCAAGTCGAAAAAGTTTGAAAGTCTTTATGCACAAGGGCTAAGGAGAAACAGGTGACATCTTGGTCAATCATGATTGGTCAAGCATGATTGGTCAAAAGAGTCAATACAAGTCATGTTTAATAAAAGCAAT